CTCCTTGTTAAGGCCCCCACCAAGTATTTGCGCATAAGGCCGCATTCCTTGTATAGGTGCTTGGCCGGAAGGCGTGGTTTGGGCATGGCCCTCGAGCATTTTCTCGGTGGTTCGGAGTGCCCCTCCGCGGGCTTCCCACCACTTTGCGGTCGGCGGCCGTCACAGTAAGTTGTCGCGCCGCTGCTTTTATTTTTCCCTTTGGCGGGACGGTTGAGGCGCTTTTTGGCGCCCTCGTCTCCGCCTTTTTTTTCCGTTTGACGATCAAAGATGGCCCTGACCGCCTCTTCTCCCAGAGGCGTGACTAGTGGCGATGTCCAGAGTTCCTTGGTAGTTCGCGGGCCCCGCGCCCCAGCTTGTGGACCGTGGATTCGCAGGTCGTTCCGGACGAAGGCTCCTATTACGCCGGCGTCGGGCGACGACGTTCGGGAGCTCATTGCATTGTCGTCGAAAAGCGCCGGATGTACCCGCGGAGGGTTTCACGGGCTTTTTCGACGGCAGTTCTTGAGGTCCCATGGGTTTTGTGGCGTTTTGTACGCGCCTCGGAAATTACCCACGAAGATTCGGTCGATCCGCCCAACTCGAATAGCATTGACGGTAGGTGCTCCAACCACGCCGCGGCCGAGTCGGCCAGAACAGCTGGAGATTGCGAATAATGAAATTATCATCACTAGCACCACCGCCCGACATGCAAGCCGATAGTCTTCGAGCCAAAGCCCGGGTTTGTTTCGCCGTAATATTTAGGAATGTTCAGAGGCGGTCGATACCTTAGAGGGAACGCAGCGTTGAGGATGTGTCGCCAAAGGCCCGAGGGCCTGGCGCAGATGGGGCTCGGGCTTCGGTCCTCGTTGTTGTCGTGAAGCGCCCGCCATGTCGGGGATGATAGCCGCGGCGCCGCTTCTTCCTCGTCGCGTGGGCACGTCTCCGAGCGCCGATGATGCTACGTACGCCGCGCCACGGCCGAGGCGCTGATGTGCTGTGGACGACGGAGGGCTGCTCGCCCGGCCGGCGGTGTTTGGTGTACGGATGCGCCCTGGTGGGATGCACCGGAAGGTGCGCTACTGGCTGGTGTCGGGTTCGCGCTGCCGAGACAATGAACTTTCCTTTCATTGCGCTGCGGGTCGCAAGGCCGAGCAACGCGGCGAATCTCTCCGATAAGCGCTGCCGATCCTCGGACGTCGTGGCCTCCGGAGACCATGCAGCAAAAGCGGTCGCCATGGCGATGTTCGGCCGGCTCGAGCAAAGTGAGGAAAGGCCCCATCGTCGGTGAGGATCCTTTGATGTACGGTGTGCGGGCTGTGAGGCTGCGCGCTTCTGCCTTTTGCGGCGCGCTCAATCTCGCGATTGATGTCCGCGCAGATTCCCGCTGCGAGCCCTTGCCCGCCTCATCGATCTCTTTGCCGACGAGCCCTTAGTCGCTCCATCCTCAAAGCGAGATGGGGCTGTCCCTTCTTCCCCGGATCTCGTTGTCGATTGTTCAGGGTGGCCTCTTTCCTCGAGGCGCTTTCGACGTGACCTCGTGGGTCCGCGCCATGTAGCATTCTCGGGAAGGGTGGTGGCTCCTCGCTGGAATCCGAAATGGAGAGCGATACAGCTCCTCGTTGAGGAGCTCGTGAGAGGGTCTCCAGATCCCGCTCAATCGCCCCCACGAACTCGATGTCCGTGGGTGGTTGAACCACACGTAGCGCCGAAGACGGCCAGCGGTTGCCGCAACGCTGCGGAGACCAAACGGAAACGCTGTCGGGCGCCCATACGGACCCTTCCGGACACATGGTGGCGCAGAGAGGCTTCTTTGGGTGACGGGACTCCCCGGAGTTGTTCGGTGGACCCTCAAGCCCGAGATGGCCGAGGTTGATGGAAGGGGAGATGGGGCGGCCGAGTGAGTCGTGCGCGCTCTCCTTCTAGTGTGATGATGAAATCTGTGTCGCCAAACGCACGCGTGTGCGCCCGGCCTGTGTGATTGCGTGGGTGGTCATCCGAGACCTGGTTTGAACGCGCGAAAGCCCCTACCCGGGCGCCAACCGCCGGTGTTTCGCATAAGCACCGCAAGTGAATTTATAGTAATGCGCGTTAGGCTCGGATGGTGCGCTAAAGGACACAGGATTTATACCGTTCGGTAAAACGTCCCTACGCCCGGGGCTTTGTTGTTGCCAGTTATTAGCACCGTAACGATCCGTAGTAAGGGATACAAACCGCCGAGAGAGGGACTGGTCCCAAGTCTCTCGATCAAGGATTGAAAGGTGGTCAAGAGCTTCAGAGTCGCTTGAATGTGTGTGAGTGCGTTCTATTGTTTTTGTTCTCCTTTTTCTTCCGCCCCTTGATAGAAGAAGCGCATCCCTTTTATAGACGCAGAAGGGCCGGCTTTACAAGGGTAAGGGCTCCAGGACGCCAGACTCTACTTAGTCTTGTGGCTCACGTCTACACTGGTCGTGTCCTCCACCCCGATGAGTGCGAAGGAAGATAAGTGTTTACAATGTTGTCGATGTCTCGCAGGATGTCGTTAGTCACGAGAATGCCGCCTCAGGCAGGTATGGGCTGCGCAGATGATGGTTTTGACTTATGAGCCTCCCCACACTTTGCTCCGCACGCCTTTCCGGTTCTCATGAGTCCTCGCTTGGGAGAATGTGGGGTCGGGGTCCGTGTAACGCCGTGGGTCAAGGCCTTCGACCGGGAGGACCCGAGGGGTCGGAAGCGGGCGCCGCTCCCTCGGGTCCACCGTGGTGGTGACGGAATACCCATCGCTCGTGGAGATAGCAAATCCTTTCCGGATCGTAGCGGTTGTCGATATCTTCGTCGGGTTCCGTGGTCCCAGAAGTCAAGGCGGCGCCTACAACTCTACAGGTGAGGTGCACGCACTGTAATACCTTTTGGGCTCATGGGCGCCCGGAAGGGTCTAAAGCTTTAGTCCCGCTGTTCCTCGGCAATCCTTTTTCTCGCCAGGCGCAGGTATGGTCGTTGGAGCCATGGTTGACCCAACGCCTTGTCTCGCCCTGCACTCCATCATTATGAGGGATAGATATCGATCGTGGCGAGGCTCGCTCTGGGCCGTCGGGTGAGGGCCGACCCCGCCTCCGGGGTGGGCGAGACGAATTGGTCCCTCACCCTCGGGCGTGGACCGAGCCCCGCCTCAAGGCGCCGGGCGAGGCGGAGTTTATCCCGGCCCGGGCGAGACCGAACCCGCCCCTATAGGCGTCGGGCGAGACGGAGATTAGCCTTGAGCTTTTGGGGCGAGGCAGGTTATCCTACCAAGGCGTCGGTAGCACGACCCCGCCTCTGGCCAAGGCGAGACGGAATTCATCCCCTCATTTCTCGGGCGAGACCGAGCCCGCCCTCAAGGCGTCGGGCGAGGCGGAACCGAACTCCTGTCACTCGAACAAGGGATGACATGGTGCCCTTATACATCTAGAAGTTTTTTACGTTCGGTGGTCATCGGTTCCACTTTCTGGGGTACCCTGGTATTAGGTCCCCGACACTGTAGCACGTTCGTTTTTATTTGACAATTAGTGTTCAAACATGGACTAATTAAGCTCAAAACGTTCGTCTCGCAATTTCCCACCAAACTGTGTAATTAGTTTTTTTTTGTCTATATTTAATGCTCCATGCACAAACCACAAACATTCGATGTGTCAGATACTATAACATTTTTTAGGATTTGGGGCGAAACTCAACACGCGCTTACCAGTAGTAGAATAGAATTTAGGTAGCAGATAGTACAGCACAGGTTAGTCATATCCTACAATAGTTATTAGATTGCTGTAATTTACAATATCCGGCCTGCACCGGCAGGTAGGGACAAGCGAGTTGAATTAGTCTGCACATAGAGAGGAGATGAGTGGTGACAAAGTGACGAGGTCTCCGTCGTCTCACTCACAGCTATGACCAGCTCAGCCGATGCTGCCCCCTTGATGGCCTGCACATCTGTCTTCAGGTTCAGAGAGTCTGCCCTGCCCATGGAAATCTTGGTCAGTGCAGTGTTAGGCCATGTTTAGTTGCCACTGAATCGACGCCGCCGGATTTGCTAGCGCTACTGTAGCTACAGTAGCGTTTTGTTTTTATTTGGTAATAATTGTTCGATCGTTGACTAATTAGGCTCAAAATGTTCGTCTCGCAAAGTACAACCAAACTGTGCAATTAGTTTTTGATTTCGTCAACATTTAGTACTCCATGCATGTACCACAAGTTTGATGTGACGAGGGAATCTTCTTTTTGTATAGTGACAAATTCAGGGAATTGGGGAACTAAAAGGCCTTAGGTGCAGGCCGATCCTCAACCTCCGGAGTCAACCCTTTGATTCGATGTCATTTGCACTTGCAGCACCAACGACTGCCTCTTTGCACGCGAAAAGCAACAGCATACTATATAGTAGCTTCAGTAAAAAAAAAGCTCAAATTCATATTCAGTAGTTGCCCCTCTGAATGAACGAATGACTGAATTGGGTGTAAAGACAAAAGGCAACAGGATATATAGTAGCTTTGGTGGTAATTAGTAGTTGTAGTTGCCCCCTCTGAATAAATGAACTAATGAATGACTGAATTGGGTGTAAGATTCAGTCAGCAAAGCACACGGCCGGTGCGGAGGGGAGGAGCAAGGTCAACCGCAACTTGCAGCTGGTCCAGTTGTGGATTGCTTTACAGTCAGTTGTTGGGGGAGATGAGAATCAGAAGAAGACACTAGTCAAGATTCGACGAGGAAACACAAGAATTCACAAAGGCTATGCTAGCTCTTGCTCATACAACAATGGACAATCTCTTCTGCTATGCTCTTCAGCATTCACAACAATTAAATTAAAACACACACAAACTAATCCAACAAGATGTTAGTTTTACATACAGGCTCTTCATCTACAGGACATGAGAAACAAGAGAGGCGTTTTTACTGGCACCCTGCAGGTGGCAGCAGTACAAATCAAAGAATGGTACAGTACAGGGCAATGGGGGAAGAATAATTTGTGATCCCCAAAGCAAGCAAGCAAGCAAGCAATTCGTCGACGAACGCCGCCCGCCTCAGAAGGAGTACTGGTGCTGCGGCGGCACGCCTGACGCGGACGCAGCGGCGGCATTGGCGGTGCCGGCGCGCGCGCTGAGGTCCATACAGCGGACGACCTCCGCGCGGCAGGCGACGACGCGGTGGAACACCGCGCGCACCTGCCGCTCCAGCGGCGCGAGCCCGTCCTCGAGCGCCCGGCACGCCGCCGCCAGCTCCTCGGCGCGCTCCGTCACGTCCCGCGCGCGCTCCTCGCCCACGATCCCCTGCCGCCGCCGCTCCTCGTCCTCCTCCTCCTCCTCTTCCTCGGCGATCTCCTCCAGCACGCTGTTGAGCTCGCGCGCGGCGCGCTCCACGGCCTGCATCTCCGCGAGGAGCCCCGCCGTGGGCGCGGAGCCGGAGCAAGACCCCTTCTTTTCCTTGCGCCTCCACTCCTCCGCGATCCGCTCCTGCAGCGCGGACATGGGCGCCGCCCACTGCGCCTGCTTGGGCGGCGCGACGGGGGGGTTGCTGGCCGCGGACGCCCGGTCCTGGCACGGCACGGCGCCGACCAGCGCCCACATGGCGAAGACGAGGACCGAGCTCATGGTGTAGAGCGCCAGTCCGAGCCCGCACCCCACCCCCGCGGCCGCCGCGGCGGGCGACGACTGCGGCGGCGGCGCGAGGTGCGCCGCCATCGCGTTCATGTGTCGCCCCGCGGACCAGTTCTTGGAGACGCTGAAGGAGCGCGCGCGCATGGTGCGCGAGGAGGGCGAGACCACGGACCCGCCGGAGCCGCCGCAGGCCTTGGCGGAGGCGGAGTCGTCGGCGGGGAAGAGCCTGGCGATGGCCCTGCGCGCGCGGGCGAGGTGTGCGGTGTGAAGCGACGGCGCGAGGAGGCAGGACGCGGCGGCGAGCGCGGCGCGGTGCGCGGCCCGGAGCGAGGCGAGCGTGAGGGACGCCGCGTTGAGGACGTCGAGCGTCTTGACGGCGCGGTCGAGGAGGTCGGCGGCGAGGCGGTCGGCGGGGGGCCTGGCGAGCGCGGCGGCGACGGGGGTCAGCGCGAGCACGCCGCGGAAGGCGGCGTCGGAGGACACGACGGCGTCGAGGAGCTTGGAGAGGAACGGGAGGGAGAGGAGCGGGGCGCTCGGGGTGGCGTGCGCGGAGAGCGCTTTGAGGCGGTCGGCGACGTGGGACTGGAGGGCGTCGAGCGCCAGGAGCTCGTCGTCCTGCGCCGGGTCGAAGGACGCGACGGCGGTGGCGCTGCGGCGGAAGCTCAGCATGCCGAAGAAGCCCATCCCGGACGGCGGCGGCGGCTCGGCGGCGGCCATGGTGTTTATCGGCGGGGATGGGCCTGGGCCTGCGCTTTGCCTTTCTGGGAAGAGGATGAGGAGGAAGAGGGAGGCGGAGTCGTCGTGGTCGGAGGCACAGGGAGGAAGAGTGGAGGGGAGGGAATGGTGGGGAACCGCGGCTTCTGCGGGGCCGCCATTTATACGGCCTCGACGATGACGGCCGGCGGTGGTGGGCTCGCATTCGCCTCTGCCTCTGAGAGGCTGACGCGTGGGCCCACGGACTGTTGGGCGCCACGTGTCAGTGAGAGGAAGGAGGAGACGCGGGGAGCGGCGTGGACTGGTTCGTTGGGGCCGGAATGGAAGGGAGGCGGCTGACTTGGTTGCCATTCCCTCCCACTACGTCTACGTGTATATGTTTCGCCTGCGGACTCGGCTCGCCTCGTCTGCAGTCTGCTCGATGGGGTAATGGACCATTTCCATTTTTATTTCCAATTCTTCTTTTGTTTTCCCATATATTTGGACAGATATAGAAAACTTACCTGTAGCTTTTATACTCCTATCTGCGTGTCTTATTATTCTTTTTTTTGCGACAGATATTATGGGAGTGGCGGATCTTGGCGAGAAATTCATTTTACCTCCATCTTGGAAAAAATGCAAAATAAAGTTTCACCAAATTCATTTGTAGAAAAAACTAGCAATATTTATGACACCAGATATATGTACTAGGAAAATACATTTCATGACACATCTTATGATAATACCTATTTGATATTATTAATATTACTTTTTATAAGCTTGGTCAAACTCAAAACGGATAGACTTGATACTTTGCAATGTCTGTTTAATTCGCTAGACGGAGGGAGTACATGGATAAAACAGTTTGCCCATAGGTTGCCGGACAAGGTGAAATTAAACCTTTCCTTAACAACATTTGAGGTGGAGGGTGCGGGATAGCCTCCTTTGTGTTAGGGCAGACCAGTGCCCGGACGTTCCGTCCGAGGCCCACGTCCTAATGCCTGCTGCAACAGTTTACCGCTCTCGCACCAGCAATCCACGCTCGCGCTCGCAAAAAAAAAAGCACGTCCCCGCTTGCGTCTGGGTTTCATGTGCCCACGTGGGGACCGCTTGCGTCCTCACCGTTTCTCACGCGCATTGCAACATGTGCAACATTCAATCTACTTTTGAAACATCCAGATGCAACACTTACAACTTACGTCTGAAGACAATTGAAATACTTAAAACATGTTTCTGAAACACTTGCAAAAACACTTAAAAACCATTGCAAACATACGTAATATCTAGATAAAATACTTGCTGCATACGTGTCAAACGTATGCAACATCCAGATAAACACACTTGCAACAATACATCCAAAAACACAGATGAAACATTGGGAACAGACATTTGCATCATACGTGTACAACCATTGCAACATATGCAACATTCTGATCTACATTTGCAACATTCATCTGAAACAAATTTCAACATACCTCTAAAATATCTAAAACACTTGAAACATACGCTTGCGACATGCATTTTCAGCACATCGCAGACATCTCCTTGCTGCTTACGAAATGGATGCTCACCGGCATGTGGAGTTCACTGGAGGTAGCTGCGCTGTTGCCACCATAGACCAGATGGACTCCGCCTACTACGAGGCCGGCGGGGACCCCTTCGTGGCCGCTGGTATCGTGGCCTCGACACGCAGCCCCCTATAGCCCCTGCAACCGGTGTCGCAGTCCCCACAACCATCGGATCTCTCGCCATGCAGTGGATCTGGTGGAAGGAGCAGCGAGGCAAAATGGGGCGGAGGCACGCGACGCGTGATGCGGGTGAGCGGCCACCCCACCATGGGGCTGTGCGTGCACGGCTGGGGCACCGCCGGACCGGCCGTGCGCAGCGCGCGGAGGTGGCCGCGCTTTGGGCCACGTCGGGAGAGAGGGGGGGAGAGAGAGAGAGAGAGAGAGAGAGAGAGAGAGAGAGAGAGAGAGAGAGGAAGGGGAGGCTGGGGTGGAGACACGGACGATGCGGAGCCAGCAGCGTCGACTGACGACGGGGGTGGGAGTGGCAGTGTCATCTACGGTAGCCGCGGATATGAAGCGAAGTGCGCGTCAATTGTTTCTTTTCTTTTTTCTTGCGATGCAGGTGAGCGGCCCGGATCTAATCGTTATCGTTTGTTTTAATAAACCTCCATCCCTTAAAGCACCTAAAAGTTAGGAATAAGTTTTTTTAGAAAGGAAAAGTTAGAAAGAAGTTGGTTATAGAAAGAAAAATTACTAGAAAAGTCGTATATCGTCTGAAAGTAGTCGTTTTCCTTCGAACTACACTACACTAAACGAATGTGTTGACAAAAATGTGGAGCGAAGCTCCAACCTTGAACCCACTGCAAGAGAGCGCTCAGGTTGCCACTCCGAGACACATGTATGCTTGCGAACAATCATCGGTGGCTTCCTCACAAGATTTGAATAAGAAGTCCATGCTTGTGTCACCACTGTGACAGACTCAAATTATGATATCCCAAAGTTGTCTAACTTCGTATAGTGCTCCTGTCACCTGCATGAGCCCTGGGTATCCTCATCAGGTCATAGGGCGCCGGCGAGGAAAAGGACGAGGAGGAGGCCAACCAAATGAGGAAGAAGGGGTGACCATGAGAGAGAGAGAGAGAGGAGGCCGACCGGCTGGGCAGAGAAAGAGTTCAGACATTTTTTTTTATTTCTATGATTTCCACTTATAAATCCTAGGTTAATCTTAAAAATTGGGACCACTTAAATAAGTAAAATCAAATCATTGCATACGATCAGAATTAGACATATATTAGGGATGCCCTAAAGAGATGTAGGCAAGTAAGGGAGGAATAAGAGGAAAGAAAAAAAAATAACAATGAAACGAGGAGGAAGAGCTAGTCCCCATCGGACCATTATATATATATATATATATCCTTTTTATTCAGGAGGAGCTAATCCGATGGGGGCTAGCTCTTCCTCCTCGTTTCATTGTTCATTGTAAAAAGGGGAAAGAAAAAATAACTAATCTGTCATTAGGTGTTTTTATTTCCCCTTTTTACTCAATTTCACTTTGGTATATATATCCTTTATTTATCTTTAACAGAAAGGACCAAATATATACCGCCAACATTGAAGCGGCATGATCTGTATAATAACCTACAGCTAAGATGTATATCATTTTATATATTGAATATATAAGCATCAAGAAAACAATGTTTGCTCGAAATGAATGTAATAGTAAACATTGATGTCCCTATCCGAATTGAAAATATAATGTGTCTACAGCTAGCTAATGTGTTATTATATATTACTCCTCCTATATAGGAGTATCTTGTATCTGTACAGTGCCAGCTGACTTAAAAAGCACAGAAGAACTTGCTGATGTTTCACGCTCTTAGCTGGCTCCAAAGACTCAGCAAACGGATTATGAAATAAAATGGAGCCTGCCTGCTTGCGTGCACGAAGCGCACCAACTTAACTCATGAGGACACCTATGCTTTTGTTTCTTAGGGCCTGTTTGGTTTCTTCTCCGCCTCCTAAAATTCCTGTCACATCGAATGTTTAGACACATGTATGAAGTATTAAATATAGACTAATTACGAAACTAATTGCACAACTTGTGACTAATTTGCGAGACGAATCTTTTAAGCCTAATTAGTTCATGATTTGACAATGTGGTGCTACAGTAAACATGTGCTAATGATAGATTGGTTAGGCTTAAAAAATTCATATCGGAAATTAGCCTCCATCTATGTAATTAATTTTATAATTAATTTATATTTAATGCTCTTTATTAACCTCTAAACATTTGGTGTGACATAAATTTTAGGAAGTACTCAACAACCAAACACCCCCTTATATACGTGATGGATTTTTTTTCAATGTGCGAGTGTGACATCAGGTTTTGATTTTTTATATATATATTTTGCACGACAGCAAAGAAACAGGGGAGGGGAGAGGAGAGGACACCCCAAGTGGCCAAACCCAAAGTAATAGGACGGGGCAGGCTATGGGCTATGGGCTATGGCATCTGAATATTAATCTCTTTGATGATGATGGATGGAGAAGAAGGGCGTGTTTCATAGTGGTCCACGAGTAGCTTCTCCTGCGCGGCAAGCAAACGTTTGAAAATACTAATACGCTCCACTGGTGAAGTTCTGAAAATCCCGCTAAAAGGAGTGTGGGAGCGGAAAATACTAGCTTTATTTGGCTGGCATCCTTACGATCCCATGGGGCCAACATGCGGGTGGGGTCCGATTTGTCCCGAGGGCACATCAGCGCGGGTAAGGCCAGCGCGGCGGCACAGGGAGAGGTGGAGGTTATGTGACGTGGCGCGGAGTGGAAAAACAGTGGCATGAGCTAATTCGAGGGTAGCATAGGCTAGCGTCTTGTTCGCTTGGCTTATAATCCGTATATTTTCAGCCAACGAATAGTATTTTTCTCTCACAACAAATCAGCCAACAATACTTTCAGCCATGACTTATCAGCCAAGCAAACATGGCATAGGTCGGGAGATATATGGCAGCGCAGAGGGGGGAGACGGTGGCACAGGTGAGACCACGACATGTGAGGCCGGCGTGGAGGTGTGGCCGTGTGGGGAGGGGTTGTATACGGGACGGCAACGTGTCCATGCGGTGAAGATAGAAGGGTACAAAGAGGTAGACAAGGCTGGTGTGCCATGCGTGTGTAGCTCTACCAGACTATCGTGCGATGGTGATAAGGTGGAAAGAGAAAAGAATAAAGAAAAATTATAGTAGAAAAATAAAGAGGAAAATAAAGAGGAAAAGGGTACTACGGATATTTCCTTTTCAACTAACAAGAGAATCTTTATTAACAGATATTTTTCTAACCAGTAAAGCAAAAGTTAAACAAAGTTGCTCAATCAGAGAAGCTATAGTTAGAGCTCTACCAAACGGAACATAATGCAATTACATAGATAGATTGCGCGCACATGGCGGGGCCCCTTTGTCCTTCCTCCTCTTTTGGTGCTTGGTTAGTGCAGCCTCAGGTGGTACAATATAAAGAAGCTACTGC